CCGAACCGCTCATGGACATCTCGTCCGGTGATTGGGCTCCTTCGCCCGTCGGGCTGAGAGCAAGCTCAAACCTGCCCGGATGAGGCATGTCGGCCGGGGGACTAGCGAAGCCGAGCAGGTCCTCGTCCACGCGGTGGGTAGGTGCAGCAGACGTGTTGGCCTGGCCAATGTCGCCCTCGTCAATGGAGCGTCGGAGCTCTGCCTCGCGCATCATCTCGGCGGACGTGACCCGCATGGGCACTGCAACTGGCACGTCGACAAGATCGTCCCAAACGCAGACCTTGGCGCGCCGGGTGAGTTCCAAAGGACCGTGATCCGGTGTCTTGAGCGTCTCTACCACGTTCCATGCCTGGCCCTTCATGACTGCGATCTGCCGAGCAAACATCTTTTCCTGAAAGTCGGGATCCAGTTGGAACACTTTTCGCAACGCCAATTGTGTCTGACTCCACCAGTGCGTTGAGGTCAGGAGGGGGAGGAAGTGATCTCGCGTCTTCTGCGAGAACGGCCGTCCAATCAGATCGACGGGGAGGAACAGCCAGCCAAAGGGGAAGCTGGATGATATGGGCGGTTAGCATTCCTTTTCGCGCGCATCGCTATTCATGTGGAACAAATTGAAGGGAAATTTTGGACTATCAAAGTGACACGTACCTTCGCCATGCATCGGGATGTTTCCAGGGCCAGGAGAGGGAGTTGTCGATAGCACCAATCGTTATCTTAGGATCTTGTGCGCTTGGATTGGGACTGGATGCCTTCATCGGCTGCTGCGTCCTGTACGGGTATGAGGAGCGGCTTTCTGCTGCTGGTCGCTGGTTCAAATCTACCGGGCGAGGTCCGCTCTCTTCCGACGAAGCGGTTTCTGTGTTCATTTGAAGCGGCTCTGACACGATCGACACTTGCTGTGTGCTCCAGTCCACTTTGATCATCCAGTTATCCAGGCCGCGGTCAGTGTTACGCATCATGTAATCCAGAATAACCAGTTTCTCGAGCTCCTCACGGAATGACTGCTTCAAGCCTTCGGTCCACACAAAATTGTCGGGACCTGGGGGTAGCCGTTCCCGGCTGCCTTCATCGTCGCTCTCAATGTCATCCAAGGCTGCCGCACTGCTTGGTCGGCAATTGTCTGCCCACCTTCTCCTACGCTTGCGATGTGGATCGTTGGTTCTGAAGCCGGACCAGTACTGGTCAGGCCATGGGTGTTCTCTGAGGAACACATTGGCGTCTTTGAAACCTTTCAGGAAGACCTGAAAGCTCCCGGGTTTTTCTGGAAATGGCTTTTGCTTTCTGTAGAAACTGCGACGGTCCCAGAACGGATAGTGGAAGGATTTTGAAGATAACCAGACGACATCCGTGTAAGGCACCATATGGGTGCGCAGTTGGCAATCTAACGTGTATGCCGCCGCTTCGCTGACGTATGAAAGGTTGGGGATCAGACTGCGATACGATTAGCCATGGAGTTTTCGGAGTTGCTGTATAGTATCATACCATGCTCGCCCAAAGCAACAAGGAAACAAGTTGCGATGGATCCATTTGTTCCACTTGGGATTGCCAGCCGCGTACGGCTCCTCGTCCTTAGGCTTGAAGACACCCACGACTTTGCCCTCCATATTCCGGGCAAAGTAGCTGCCGGAGCTTCCCTGTGCGATCATTCGAGGATGCGTGCCCTGAAGAATAGCCTGCCTGACACTGCCCACGATCTGTTCGAACTGCGACTTGGACATGACATCTTGCGGCGCCGCCAGGCCTTCAGGAGTAATGGGTCGGACGCCCTCGGGAGCTTGGAACACTGAATGATGGATCTCTAAATGCTCATCATCTCCCGTCTTGCCGCGCCCCTTTGTGCGCTTGAACCGGCTAGCGATTTCATCGGCCCATCGTTCTAATCGAGCATTGATAGCCTTTATGTCTACACCAGAGTTGCTGCCGCCGCGACGGCGATTCTTAGGTCTGGAAGGGCCGGCTATCGCTGGTTTGGGGGTGGTCATGCCCGAACGGGGCCGCGGCTGCGTGATGGGTGCGAAGCGAGGGGCCGAGGCCGGCTGGAGGGAGGCATATGACTGGGTGAGAGGGTCGTCGTCTTCGGAGTCGGAGGAGAGTGCATCGGCTTGAGCCAGGCGCTCGTAGCCCGTCGTGGGGGGTCGAGAGCGAGGCATCGTGGCTTCGGGGGCGCCAGGGATAAGGGACCGTCTCGGCGAGGAAAGGGCGAGGTAATTATCGAGCAAAGGCAGGGCCGGAAGTCAGAGCCATGTGGATTGGCTTGCAGGACTTTGGATGAAAACTCGCGATCGAGATGGCTTGTATGCTGGTTGATCGGCTGTATCTCCGTTTGAATGCGATAATCGTGCTAGCGAAGGGAATGCGGAATCCTTGGCCTAAGGATGGATGGAGGAAGCCACGAAGTCAAACCCTCAGCAGGGAGAAAACAGGGGGAAAAAAGGATAACACTGTAGAAACAAATGTGGCTTCAAGGAGACAACAGGCAGCAGGTTGGCGATGAAAGCAAAAGAGGGAAGTAGAATGGTAGGGCTGTAGTGGTGCTCGTGGTGTGGTGGTAGGCACAGAGCAATTTGTCGGCGAGTCGCGTCGTCGAGCATGTGTCTTTAGGAACCCGTGGTTTAGGCGGATCGCGATGCTGTCATTGGGGTGCAACCGGCGCTGCTGTCACCCTGGTACCTTTTCGCAGGTACCTTACCTTGCTGCTCCAAAAGCTTGCTTAAAGTTCTAGAGCGCCTGAGGTGCACCGAGGCCGCCAGTTCTAGACGTTCATAGCGGTTTAGCACTGGGCAGTCGGCCCCTTGCCTCCGCGCTTCCCCGTGCTAGTGCCTGGGCCGGTGATTGGGGTACACGGAACGGACGCAGTGTTTACCCGATTCAAGTAGACTTAGGTAATATGGACGTCAAGTAAAGAGTACCTTCAAGGCAACTTCGCCAACTTCGCTTGGAAGGTACGGATACTGTCCTCTCTTTTGATTAGCAGAGATAAATGATCAGGTATCGAACAACTAGAAAGCTGCAAGGGACTTCGAGAAAGGAAATTCTCTTGTCTTCTAGATCACCTCTTCTTTTACTGCTGTCAGCAAATGTGTGCCGTTCCAGGTCAGCTGATGCCAGGCCGGACACTTGTCAAACGTTTACCAAAGCCAATGAGATGGGTAGACCCAAGTCTGAGAGCGGCGGTGCCAGCGTTTGCCTAGGGCGGCCAGGCCACTTTTGGACGTCTTCACATCGAACTTGTCGCAATAAGCCTAAGAAGAATGAACGCTCGTCGATATGGTCTCTCTGGAAGGTGAGAGATTTTCAACCAGCTCGCACGATGTGGTTGACAAAGGAGATACTCCCAAACTCCGTTGTTGCCCAGCTTTGCTAGCCTGCATATCTCGATCGGGCCAGCTGTGGATGGCATTTTGATCAACAGTGTCAAATACCCATCTTCGTTCTACTAGGCATTAACGGCTTTGCATGCAACCAGACATGCCGCGGAAGATGGACAGAAGCCGTCGACTGTACACCCACAAGGACTGTCGGCCTTTCCTAGTCAAGTGGCCAAGCTACTGGTAGTCTTGCTCCTCTGTCGAATGAGATGCCACGGCTGTCACCCCAGAATCCCCCAAACTCTCGGGTCACAGCCATGGACCCAACCCACACTGCACGTCGTTGTCCTCCTCCTCCCCCTCGTCGAGTGCTCCCCTCCATGAATTGGTTCGATTCATCACCCGACCTTTCGATTCTGACTTGATCGTCCCGGGTCAAGGTTCCGTTTGCATTGCGTAGGTAGGATTGTACGACCTGACCAATCCAATCCCAAAGCCTTTCTTGATCCCCCGCGTCTTGTAAGTTTCTAATGGTGACTGATCAACCATGGGTAGTCCCCCCTTGCAGAGTGACAGATCCTCGTCACCGTTTGCTTGCGGGTTTGAACGATTGAAGCGCGCCGTCTAACCCGAATAATCTTCATACGTCAAGCCTCCCGGTGTGTTGCGAGATCCCGATCAGGTCAAATCATCAGCTACGACGCCCGGCGCACATCTTTTGATCACCTCGTGATTTGCTCTCCTCTACCGGCCTAGTTACTTACCTTACACGGAAGTAGGAATTCTTTATCAAGTCTTGAGCCCGCTCCACCCTTTTGCCTCCCCAATTTCTTCCTACACAGCAGCTCAGGTTACATTCCCACATGTGACTTCTTGCATCAAATCATCTGCGCCAACATCCATCATCATATCTTTGTGTCAAATTTCCGATTGATGAATATGGCCTCCCACTTCGAAACGATTACCAAACTTCGTTCGGTAACGTCGAGCCCCTTCCCTCCCGAATCAGATGCTTTCCGCGGCCGCAAGAGGCACCGCAGCCTCACGAGATGTGACCTAGAAGCCAGGCACTACAGCGGAACGGGCGAGTCCAGCACGCTCCGGGGTCGACCCCGTCGTCGATCCACCTCGCCGACGCCGGTATCATCCAGAGCGTCTTCGCGAGCCGGAGCCGGAGCCGGAGCCGGCCGCGGCGGCGGCATGACGAGTACGACGGACGTGTCTCCCATGAGGAAGCGTCTCCTCCGCGTCGTGCTGCTGGAGCGCCGACGAAGCCAGAGCCCCTCTCGGTCTAGGTCGCCTGACCGCAAGCAGGCCCCACCCCGACGCCGACACAGGACTCGGAGCCGGAGCCGAACGCATCATACCAAGGACATGTTCCAGCCGAAGGATCAGCTGCCTCGGCTTTTACTTGGAGAGCAGGCACATAAGAAGGTGGATACATCGGTTCAAGCCTGATTGTCAGCTGATCTAGGCAGCACGCGAACATGAAAGGAAAGCCCGAAATGGTCTAAACAAGGACGAGAGGAAGGAAACAACATATCTACAACGCCAATCATGCAACCGCTCACATGGGATTATGCGGTGTGCTACCAAGTCATATCCTTGGTATGCTGGCTCTAGTCGTTTAGTCGTTCGGAGTTTTTGAGCACGCCGATGAGACTTTGCCACGAAGAAAATGTCTCGGACACCTCAGATCAACGCAAGACAACCATCGAGGCATCCAGGGCCACGGCGAAAATCAGCCCGGTTGGGTGGGTTGAAAGAATGGGTGTGGAAGTCCAGTATCTTATGGGCCATTGTCCGGCTGGTAGTGGGGTGAGAGCGGTCTAAATTGGCTTGTACTGAACCTAAGGTGGTGGGCAATGCTTGGAACCAGTGAGTAGGGAGTACACGTGTAAGAGACCTCAGGTCAAAGATGGGCCGGGATGTGTTATTTTGGGGCGCACTCGAGGCAACACTGCCGAAAGATCCAGAGATTGACAGAAGAGTGTCAATTGTATTATTCCCACCGGTAGATTCGGGTGACACTATAGGAAGGCGGGCGGGTAGGTTTGGTAAACAGGATATGCCTGATTAGGAACATCCATGATGATGCTAAGGTAGGTAAGGTACAGACAAATGACAAGAAAGAAAGAAAAAAAAAAAGTTGTTTGGTCAAGTGATCATCCACCCTTTCACAGGCTGCCTCTGGGGAACCACCCGGACGCCCTGTCGAGGTGTACCTAAGACCTACACAGTAAGTGGTGTATGTAAGAGAAGGGTAGGTGAGGTACCTGGTGGTGGAAAAGGCTTGGGCCGAGATGGGAGAGAGTGGGGCGTTCAGATGGTAAAGGGTGGCCACGTGAGGATGCGAACTTTCCAGGTAGCTAATCGGAAATCGGGAATCAACGGGTCTCCACTGCAGCTGCCCCGCTGCAAGAGGCGGAGGGAACTCAGGGAGTGACCTCAGCTGCAAGAAGGCTGCAGCCAACTGCTGCACCACATTCCATGTGCCGCGCCTACCTTCACTTTTTTTTCTACCTCCACGACCACCACAACTAACTCACTACTACCAGTCTACCACCACCTTACCGCGACTTGGGTTCCTTTTCGATTTTCCCCCCTCCACCTCATCCTCCTTCAGCCTGCACTTCCATCCATAGCCCGGGAAGTTGTATTGGTTCTTTTCACTTGAACTGCTTTCTTCATTTCGCCTTGCGCCGCCCCTCCTGCAAAGAACTTCTTCAACCGCCACGAAATCTGATGAGGAGGCAAGAACAATGATATGGAACAAACGGCACTTGTGAATAGGCGTCGGACTTGACTCGACCTTTGGCCTCCTTCTTCCCCCGACTTCTCGCGCCATCCACCTTCTCCGCCTGGGCTCTCTTGTGTGTTTCTGGTCTCCGGCTGAGCCTGCCCAAAGTACGAAGTACCTTACCTCACTTCAAGTGGACTCGACTCACTCGACGACTTACTATTACGGAAGTGACTCCTCTAATATCACCCTCTCATCATCCCCCGGACCAACTCATCTCAAACGCCATATAGCCTTGCGCCTTCTTCTCCTCGCCTCTCTCTCACCATCTGCATCGTCGCTGCCTTCAATCTATGCCCTTGCGCGACACTCGTTATTTTGGAGCATTACTGCTGCTGCCACTTCTTTCACATAATTCCTGCATTTGGGGTCGACTTATCTACAATACCACTGTTCATTGTCACGTCAATATCAAACAACGACTCCACATCTCGCTCTCGTTTGTGATGATCGCAACCACCCTTCTCAGACTGCTCTACTGAAGCCCGCCCGCCGTGTGCAAGCTACAGCACCTTCCTCACGACAGCAGCAACAACAACAACAACAAGAACATACTAGACGCCGGGCAGTATCGAGAGACGCAGCCATGGCATCGCCAAACGGGCCAAATGGTGAGTGAGCCCCGCCATGGACAGCCCTCCTACCCCTCCAAGCCCTAGGTCGACTGCTCTTTCCCTCTGCCACAACAACAACGACAACAACAACAACCTCCTTCTGCCCATTATTTTGTGATTTCCAAATACTTACAACCTCTCCCACAAAAAGGCCGAGCAAATTACATCAACGCCCAGCCTCAAGCGCAGTCGTGGAATGCGCAAGCGTTACTGAACCCTCGATCCTACGCCGTGTCAAACGCTGCCTCGAGGCGCAATTCACCCAAACCTCAGCACTTGTCGAACCGATCTACTCCGGGAAATCAAAATACCACAAACAACCCTGTTGTCTTCCAGTTCGCGAGTCCCAACGACACGACAAGCGAGTCTCTGACATCCAGCATCACCTCGGGCGCTTCAACTCCCGTTCATGACGGCGGCATTTCTCCGTACGGAATGGCCAACATGATCGAGAGAATGAACGACGTCCAAGATCGCGCTGCGGCGCCCCTGCCAAAGCGGCGAAAGGTTGATACCCCCGACCCCGAGTCCGACGCCGACAACAAGAAGAAGATGGGACCTGCCGGTAGCGGAATGCTCGGCGCGTATGTGAAGGAAAAGCAAGACGAAGGCAAGAAGGAGAATTCCAAGGTTTCTACCCAGACTGTGGACTTGACTGAGGAGGGCGATGATGTGGTCATGGTGGAGGACCCCGCAACCGAGGAGGTCTGCTACGGCATGCTCACCGGCTTCCTCGACTGCCACAAGGTACCTTCCGCCAAACCGGGCACGCAGAGCATCTTTGGAGCCGACTTCATGCCACCAGTTAAGATCGTTTTGAAGCGAATCATCGGGGATTCGACCAAGAAGATCCAGGCCTACGACTACACGCGCGACATCATCGGAAATGTGGATGCCAATACCGCCAATGCTCTCGTTCCTCTGTTGGACTCCAACGTGCGCCTCCGAACGGACTGCAAGATTCCTGCGCGTAGAAAGCAAGCGGATGAGCACCCGGGCCAGGCGATCTCGAGATCCTACCCTGTGGAAATGACACTGTACGGCCAGTACAGGTTTGTCAAGGCTGTCGGCAAGCACTTTGATAGATTCAAGATTGTTCTACGACATCCCAATAGAGTTGACAAAGGTGTCAGGTATGAGAATGTTCATACCGATAACAAGCCTAACCCAGCGCCTGGTGCCAGAAACCTGGCCGGAGCTCTCGCTCAGTACAACAATCATTCCTCGTCTACCTACTACACCAACCCCACTCCACGCACTGTCGAAGAGATCAGATCGGACGTGATGGGCGTCTTCGACTCGATGGGAAAGACCGATGAGCTTCCTGAAATGGATCCAGCTCCTATCGTCACCACAGAGTTACTGAAGCATCAGAAGCAAGGCCTCTACTTCATGACTGCGAGAGAAAAGGAGTCCACGGCCGAAGAACGAGTGAAGGGATCCATGTGGCAGCTCAAAATCGGGCCCACTGGACAGAAGTTCTACTACAACGTCATCACCGGCCACCAAGAGCGTACTCTTCCCGCAGACACCCATGGCGGATTGCTAGCCGACATGATGGGCTTGGGAAAGACCCTCAGCATCCTCTCGCTCATTGGCAGCTCGTTGGACCAGGCCAAGGAATGGGCAGGTCGCACACCAGTCCAGCCCGAGATGCCGCCCCAGAAAGCTGGGGGAAAGGCAACAGCTTCGAGCTCTCTGCCTCTGACGGGCATCGCAATGAATGCCAAGGCTACATTGCTCGTGTGTCCCCTGAGTACGGTCACGAACTGGGAAGAGCAGATCAAGCAGCACATTGCGCCGGGAGAGTTAAGCTACTATATCTATCATGGTTCGAATAGAATCAAGGATGTCGAGAAATTGGCCGAGTTTGACTTGGTCATCACCACCTACGGCTCTGTCTCTAGTGAGCTAGGCGCTCGCTCCAAGCGAAAGTCTGGCAAGTATCCCCTTGAGGAGATTGGTTGGTTCCGAATCGTGCTGGACGAGGCGCACATGATTCGCGAAGTCGCGACTCTGCAGTTCAAGGCCATTGTTCGTCTTCAGGCCGCCCGCCGTTGGGCTGTGACTGGTACGCCCGTCCAGAATCGACTCGAGGACTTGGCCGCTCTCCTTCAGTTTGTCCGGCTGAAGCCATTCGATGACCGCAACAAGTTCAACCGGTTCATCGTGGACCCCTTCAAGGCCTGCGACACAGAGATTGTTCCGAAACTCCGCGTGCTGGTTGACAGTGTCACACTCCGCCGGTTGAAGGACAAGATCAACCTTCCGCCCCGAAGCGACCACATTGTCAAGCTCGACTTCACAGAAGAGGAGCGCGAGGTTTACAATCTCTTCGAGAAGAACGCTCAAGACCGCGTCAAGGTGCTTTCTGGCAACGGCGTACAGAAGGCATTGGGTGGTCACACCTACATCCACATTCTTCGATCCATTCTCCGGCTTCGACTCCTTTGTGCCCACGGCAAGGATCTCCTGAATCAGGAAGATCTAGAGGCTTTGCAGGGCATGACTGCTGACATGGCTATTGACCTTGACAGCGACGATGAGGACAAGAAGCCCGGCCTTTCTGATCGTAAAGCATACGAGATGTTTGAGCTCATGCAGGAGACGAACACGGATGCTTGCAGCGCCTGTTCGAAGAAGATAGGAACCAACGACGACGCTAGCATCGAGTCCGAGGGACAGGAGGACATTCTCGGTTACATGACGCCTTGCTTCCACATCATCTGCGGTTCCTGCATTAAGGGTGTCAAGGAACAGACTAGACGACTGCTCCCTCCCGGCCAGGCTATGGGACCTTGCCCCATCTGTTCCACCGTGATCAAGCCTGCCTACGTGGACATTCGTCGATCTCGAGTCAAGGTGGAGCACGAAGGTCCTGCGAAGGAGAAGACCGCAACGAACGGCCGCAAGAGCTTTGGAAAATACACGGGGCCGCACACAAAGACGAGGGCGCTGGTCGAGGATCTGCTCAAGTCAAAGGCTGACACCGATGCGAACCCCGATGAGCCGCCGTACAAGTCGGTGGTGTTCTCCACGTGGACCTCCCACCTTGACTTGATTCAAATGGCTCTTGACAATGTCGGTGTGAAGTACGTCAGGCTGGATGGCAGTATGACGCGTATCGCCCGAACCCAGGCGATGGACAGCTTCCGGGAGGACCACTCAGTCCACGTGATCTTGGTGTCGATCACTGCCGGTGGTCTCGGTCTGAACCTGACAGCGGGTAGCAACGTCTATGTTATGGAGCCTCAGTACAACCCTGCTGCGGAGGCTCAGGCCATTGACCGTGTTCACCGTCTCGGGCAGAAGCGACCGGTTCGAACAGTTCGCTACATCATGAGAAACAGTTTCGAGGAAAAGATGCTCGAACTGCAGGAGAAGAAGAATAAGCTGGCGAGTCTCAGCATGGACAGAAAGGAGAGGGTCTTTGACAAGAGCGAAGCGGCCCGGCAGAGACTGCTGGATCTGCGAAGTCTTTTCAAATGAGCCTGATCAGATCGGCGGTGTGGCTTTTTCGGCTTGCGCAAGCATATTATCGTGGCGTTTGGGAGTATAGGGAGGCAGGAATCCAGCAA